ATAACACTTAACAATATAAAAAACTAAAAAGTAAATAACAGAACTAGAATAACAGAATAACATAACAGATAGACTAGGTATATTCTACCCTACGGACAGAGTGGCCCCACAGCTGTGGGGCCCACATCAGTTTCTCTACAGTTCATAAGAATGAATTGGTGGCAGTAGGACTGTGGGAGAGATACGAGAATTACAACAATGAGTAGACTGGTGGGGTTTCAAGGTAGGAAAGCTACCAATCAAATATTTGGGGATGCCTTTGGGGGCTAAATGCAAATTAAAATCCATTTGGGAACCTGATAGGCCCTCAACTACCCATTTGGGCCCACAACAGGAGACCCAGGCCCAAGACACGCAGCAACCAGGCCCAATTTTCAGACCCTATTTGCGGCGTTATATATTGTTTTTTTTGATGTTATACTTATTTACAGTCCTTCCTGGGCCTCACACATGACACATTTGCGTCGCACTCTAGACCTACTTAGGCAACACTCCTTGTTTGCCAAGCCCACTAAATGTTCATTTGGACCCATGTTAATTATCTTGGGCACATAATAGCTGGTGGTAAAGTTTGTACGGACCCGGACATGGTTTCAAGCATGGCGAACTAGCCTAGATCCCGGAATCAAGTCTCTCAGAGGATTCCTTGGGCTGACCGGGTATTACTGACGTTTCATAGAAGGTTATGGCATGTTGGCCGCACCTCTCACTAAGTTGTTGAAGAAACAAGCTTTTGAGTGGGACGAGTCCGCTGAACAGGCCTTCCAATCTCTTAAGAGGGCAGTCACAACACCCCCCACCTTGGCTCTCCCAGATTTCAATAAGGAATTTGTAGTTGAAACTGATGCTTCCGGGAAGGGAATTGGGGCAGTTCTAGTGCAGAATGGACAACCCCCAGCTTTCTTCATCTGAGCTCTATCAGCCCAGGCCTAAGCAAAGTCCACATATGAGAAAGAATTAATGGCGATTACACTGGCAGTACACAAGTGGAGAGCGTACCTTCTGGGCCGGAGATTCACGGTGCGAACTGATCACCGAAGTATTAAACACTTATTGGAGCAAAGGATTCTCAGTCCTGAACAACAGAAATGGGCTTACAAACTTTTGGGCTATGATTTCCATATTGAATACAAACCTGGGCCTTGAAACGCTGTTGCAGATGCACTATCCAGGATAGAAGAATTTCAGCTGATGGGCTGTCCAAGCCTAGTTATCCCTTGTATGAGCTCATCTAGCAAGAGGCGCAATCTGATCCAGAACTCAGTTGGATCCGAGCCCAATGGAACAAGGATCCAGCTTTAGTTCCCGGTTATTCTGTAACAGGTACTACACTCTTTTATAAGGGTCGTGTGGTGGTGGCCAGTAAATCAGATTATCATCAGGAGTTGCTCCAACTCTTTCACGACTCAGCTGTTGGGGGGCATTCTGGATTTCTCAGAACGTACAAGAGGATAGCGAGCCATTATTACTAGGGGGGGGGTGAAACGTATGATTCAGAGTTATGTGGCCCGTTGTGATGTATGCCAGCAACATAAGTATAACACCCAATCTCCTGCAGGTCTACTTCAGCCCTTACCAATTCCAGAATGAGTGTGGTAAGACATAACAATGGATTTTATTACTGGATTACCTAAATCAGCAGGGAAGTCTGTGATTCTGGTGATTGTGGACCGCTTGAACAAATATGCTCATTTTTTAGCATTACCACAACCATATACAGCTTCCACAGTGGCTCAGGCCTATGTACAGGAGGTAGCCAAATTACACGGCACTCCGAATTCCATCTTGACAGACAGGGACCCCCTCTTCATGAGCAAATTCAGGGACTCTTACTTTTCCACTCAAGGGGTACACATGCTTCACACAACCAGCTACCACCCCCAGACTGATGGGCAGTCCGAGGTGGTCAACCGGTGCCTCGAAACGTATTTGCGTTGCTTCATTGGGGAGAAGCCCAAACAGTGGGCCTTTTGGCTGCCATGGGCAGAATATTGGTACAACACCACATATCAGGCTTCAGCAGGAACCACTCCATTTAAGATAGTATATGGGAGAGAACCTCCAGCAGTGCTGCCATATGAAAAGGGGACTTCTACAGTGGCTGAGGTAGAAAATCAGTTGTTGAACAGGGATGAGATATTGAGATCCCTTAAACTGCATTTGCAGAGAGCACAACAGCGCATGAAGTTGGCCTACGACCACAATCACTGGAAACTTGAATTTGCAGTTGGCGATTGGGTCTATTTGAAGCTCCAGCCCTACCAACAAACTTCAGTAGCTCGACGAGTTTGGCAGAAGCTAGCCCCTAAGTATTTTGGCCCATTCATGGTGATTGAAATAGTGGGACAGGTAGCTTACAAATTGGAGCTTCCTGCTTCCTCAAAATTACACCCGGTTTTCCATGTCAGTATGCTGAAGCCTTGCCTAAGTCCTACAACTAAGGTCAGCCCGACCCTTCCACAGTTCACAGAAGACGGGGACATATTGATTGAACCACAACAAATCAGAAATGTGAGATGGGTCAAGATAGGCAAGAAGTTACACAATCAGGCCTTAGTCATATGGAAAAATTTGCCACCAGAAGATGCCACTTGGGAGGACTATGACAAACTACAAGATCAGTATCCCCACATGAACCTTGAGGACAAGGTGTTTCTTGAAGAGGGTGGGACTGATAGGCCCTCAACTACCCATTCGGGCCCACAACAGGAGACCCAGGCCTAAGACACGCAGCAACCAGGCCCGACACGAGAGAAACACCCGATCACCCATGTGCAACCTCCACTGAGGTTCGTTTATGTGAGGAGGCCACGTCCCTCCAGTTAGTTAGCAGTCACAGTCGATGCCATGTGCAGGAGAGACTGAAGGGAGAGTATAAATAATTGTAACCCCCCAGCTATGGGGCATGAAAAGAAAACCCTACCATTCTCCTCCTTCCTTCCTCTTCTACTCCTTCCTTTCTCTTCTTCCTCTCTTCTACTCTGTTTCAGGAGGGTGAGCTCCCTCAAACAAGCTCAGATTCTCCGAATTCAAAGTAGTCTTATCAGAAACAATAGTGGAAAGGATGGAGAAGAGATTGGCTGGTTGGAAAGCAATTTTTTGTGGTAATAAATAAAAAAAGAAAATTTATTTACAGAGAATAAAAGGAATCTATATTACCTATAAAAGAGCGAATGCCCCTTCTTTCTGGAATTTTCATTGGATGCTTTCTATCCCTCTTGTCTAAGCATACAACGGGCATAAAGAGGGTATATATGTCCTTTACTCTCACTGTAGAAATTGCCCACTTATAACTGTTCAGAAACTACCCACTTATAATTATTTAGAAACTATCCATGAATTATAAATAGTTTTGTCTTAGAGATATTGCCACGCGCAAATGCACGTACATGTTTACTAGTTACAATAAAAGGTGATACGCTCATTCCAATCAAGAGTGTCTTCTCATCTCTCCTTGTTTATGTATCCAATTCGAGCAAGGATGGCAACTTTAATTGCAAAAAGGATGAGAGAGTTCTTAATGAAATCATACTTTATCTCTTCTAATAAAAGGATAAATTGGATATCAACTTGCATTGGCTGGGAATGGGGGGCCATTGTGTGGTAACATTATTTGGATGGAGTTGCTGGATCTTTTTGTCTTTTATTTAAAATTCAATAAAGCTTTTATGTTGATAAGTATAAAGGGACAATAATATATTACCTGACATTGGTCCTAGCTATCTGATCTCTTGGGATGGGTGGACTGGATGTGGACCTGATTTTAGGCATTTTTTTGCACAAAATGGCTACTCTCAGACTTGAACATGCACTCTCATGCTTGTCAGCCTGATCTTTTACCATTGGACCAAGCAATGTGCCCCTTTTTCTTTGATAAGTATCTAATTAAAAACATTAGTCTGTGTTTAATGCTTTAATTTCACATCAGAAACTGGCTCTATTGTTCTGTCTCTTTCCTCATTGGTTCAGTAAAAAACTTGATCTTTACTATTGATGTTGTATTAAAACATCTTGCATTATTGGGTCTGGATTTTCTCTTATTATCTAGTGTAACATAAGATATTCATTTAACTAAGATTTACATTTTACAGTTAAGAGATGGTAAATGATACTCGACCCCGTCGCAAAATTAAGGATGGCGATAGCAACAACTCAAAGAGAGGGGAAATTGGTGCCAAAGGTTCAACTGCTTCAGGCTCGGCAACAACAGATACATCTGGTTTAAGAAGGTCTACCAGAGAACTACCTTCCAAGAAGAAGACATTATCAAGTCCTTCAAACACACGAAAGTCTGAAAGACTCGAAAAACAAACTCCATCAACTCCACTTAAGAAGAAATCTGAGCGAGTTGAGAAGAAAAAAATGCCATGTCCTTTAAAGAAGTCTGAAAGGAGTGAGAAGCAACGCTCTTTGAGCTCTTCGGAGTCAAAGAGGCATGCAAAAGGCTTGAGTACATCAGATACCAAATCTAAAAAGAGGAAGGGAGAAAAAAGTAGGAAGCAGCAGGCACTAGATGTCAGAGAACAGAATAGAAGTGAGAAGCAGGATTCAAAATCCACACATGTAGTATTGAAAAAGAAGAGATTAGATGCCCGTAGTTACAGGGCATTACTCAGCTCCAAGACTAAAATGGCCAAAGAAACAGGTATAGTGTACCTCATCTGAAATGAATATTCATTATTTTTCTTGATTCCTTTTTGATTAATTGATGTTTAAAGATTTTTTTTTTTTTTTTGTGATTAATTATGCCATCTGGTTTCACATTATTACTAGATGGTATATAAGAAAGTTGATGTGCTCTAATATTAGAATCTGGTGAACATGCGGAAAAAAGTTGACTTCTAAATCACCAAGCATTCTTTGCCATGGTAAAGACGTCTTAAGGATTTGACCTATGGGATCTTACTGTATGTCTGAACTCTTAAAACAACTATGTACAACCAGCAATATCTGTTCTTGATGTCCATGTCCCAGCATATTATTGGAAAAGAAAAACTAATGGTTGCTATTTTGTATACATACTGAAGTACTTCTTCTCTGTTTGGCTCAGATCTTGGTGAGAAGCTGAGAAGACAGGATAAGTTGTCTCAAGGGGATAGCAACAGAACAGGGACTAGTGATTCCAAAGAAGTTGAGGACGTTGCAGAACAGTACAATGACGAAAATGGTGAGGAACTGAGAAGAGAAGATATTGTAGGAGGGTGTGAAAGTTCTGCGCAGGAATCCAATTATGATTTGAGAAAATTTCCCAAGGGGACATCAAGATATCACAAGAAAGGAGAACTATCTTCATTTATCCGGAAGCGTAAAATTCATCCTGAAGAGGTTCAGAAGTCTGAAAATGGAGATGGTTCACCAGAGTCCAAGTATAGTGGTAGTTCTCTTCAATCATCCCCTAATGAAATAGTGGGCAAGGAAATTGTTGATGATGGTAAAAGTGTCCATATGGAGAACTCATCAGGGGAAGACTTGCAAAATCAAGAACTAATTGAATCTACTTCTGAGGGGAGATCACTTACTAGTGAGGCTGATGGGGGAAGGACTGACAAACTTGGTTCTGTTAAAAGAAAGAGGAATGCAATGAATATGGATTCTGATGCTTATGCTTCAGGAGCAAGTAAAGAGATTTGCTGTTCCACTGCTGATACAGTTTCTTCATCACAACCTGGCAGCAAAAGGAATTGCACTTTTGAGAAATGTAGTGTCTGTTCTAAAAGACAAAGGTATCCTTTTCCATAAAGTATATGTCTTGTTTTTTGATGTTAATTACACACTTCATATATGTGACATCCCTTCTAATTTGAAGAAAAAAAATAAAAGAATAATCATGTAAACTATACTTGATAGTCTTTGTTGTTATGAGAAAGAAGTTCTATCACATCTGTGCATAAAGGGCAGCCCATTGCACGGGGCTTCTGCCAATGCGTGGTCTGGAGAGGGAAAGATTTATGCAGCCTTACCCCTGCACATACAGAGAGGCTGTTTCCAAGATTTGGACCTTGACCACACAAGTCGAAATGGAGCAACCCAACCTTTGTGCCAAGCAGTGATTTACAAGGCGCGCCTAGGCGCACAAGTGAGGTGTATTTTAGGGTATGTGCCTCGCCTAGGTCCTAGACGCACCTAGGGGTGGAGCCGAGCCGAGTGGAGCGGAGCCAAATACTTGGCTATTCGAGCTTGGCTCGCTGAAACTGTGTTAGGCTCGAGCTCGATTCGAGATAGAGACTTGAGCTCGAGCTCGACTGCAAGCCATGTTTTTTTCTAAAAAATCAAATTTATACATATAAAAATATTTTTTATTTTACATACAAAAAATTAAGAATTATAAAAATTATTTATTAGTATACATAAAAAATAAAAAATATACATATAAAAATGTTTTTATTTTACAAACAAAAAATAAGAATTCTAAAAATTATTTACTATTGTACATAAAAATAAAAATATTATTATATATAACAAAAATTATTTATTAAATATATTTATATTTATATGTAATTGTATGTATGCATATAATAAAAAATTATTTATTTATTTTACTAGGTTTGTGAGCCTCACTGGGCTCGAGCTCGGCTTGAAGCTCGATTTAAACTGAGGCGAGCTTGAATAGCTCGTGAGAAGCTCAACTCGTGGCACCCCTAGGCACACCCCTTTCAAAAGGCACATGCTTGATGCGCCTTGCACCTCAGCCAGGTGTAACCCCCTATTTGCTAATGTTGTTCATTCATTCATTCCAATAAAATTTCTTCATAAAAGGCAATTAAAGTTATAAAATCAAGAATGCAATATGCATGTATGAGAACTAAGAATTTAAGATCCTAACATGGACTTGTTCGGGCTTTGCCTCGAGGGGTGTGGTACAAAGGCGACTCATAGAATCAAGAATGCAATATGTTTTACATCACATTAGCTACTTGAAATAATGCAATTGAGGAAAAAAAGAGATTGTGGGTTTTACATGCTTGAAAATGCTTTATATGTTTGCTTTTATTTTTAAATTTTCATTTGAATACGCTTTATATGTTATGTTTATGTATTTTAATTTTAGATAATAGGTTTTTTAAAACATTTATTTTAAAGTTTAAGTTTATATTTTTTATTAACATTATGTTTACTTGTTTAGTATTTTTTGAAAATTTTGGCATTTTTTGAATTTTCTTACATTTTTTTTTGTAATTTTGCGCCTTGCTTCAAAAAGGCGTGCACCTCGCATTGCGCCTCAGGCGCAAATTGGCCCTTGTGCTTTTTTTACGCCTTGCGCTTTTAAAGGCATGCTCCCACTTCTCATACTGAGTATCAACTATCAAGCACCTTTGGCCCTTGTGCTTTGTTCTGGTCATGTCATTTAGGTTGACTAATGTGCTGTCAACATTGTAAGCATTGATGAATAATGATCGTTCTTGCACCGAAATCGAACTAGATCTGAAACCAAAAGGAGGGAGAAGTATACTTGATACGGATTCCACAAATGTAGCTCCCAAAGTGGTAGTTCACGCCCAAATTGAATCCCAAAACCAGCTTCCACTGAAGATGGCACAACTTGGAATGAAGCCGGTTTAGCAACGCAGTTTTCAGTAAAACTGCAATCCAACACCTTGGGTCGAACAAGGGAGGTGACCATAGTTTTTCCTTTGATATTTTGTTGCAAAGATAAGAGATCAAACTGATCAAGATCAGTCACAAGAAGGGGAGATCGAATTAGGGTTTTTGGGGTGGCAAGAGCAGAGAGAGAGCTGAAAGCAGAATGATAACTGGAGTAGTTTGATCTCTCCTTTTATAAGCCTTAAGGAGCACCACTCCTAATTGAATTAGGAGGTTCCTAATCCAAATCTTTATTTGGATTTGGACTCTATTAGTGGATAAGAGTTATCCTCTTATGAGAATGGGTGCTCTAGACCCATATCCAAACCCATATTCGCCCAAGTCACATGACACCTGAAGCAGTCATGTGACCACTTGATTAATCTCATTAATCATGGGCTTTAGGCCCATTAAGCAAGTGGCTCACGTCCCAAGATAGTTGCTGGCCCATTTAGATTCAATTTGTATGGCGTGGGACCCCAACAATGACCTCACATAAGCCCATATGGGTTCGACCCAGCCTCTGTGAAAAGACCTGACCAAATTCACTACCAAATGCAGTGAACCCCCGAGTCCACTAGTATGGGCTCTTAACGGGCCCGACATTTACAGTTAAATGATCCCTGAGTCCAGCCATCAGGTAAACAACCCTTAATGGTCTCTTACACTTAACCTCTCACCCAATAATGATCAAACACTACTCAATAGGGAAGGACCTCTCCCCTGACTGCAAGGTGCAGTGTTGCACACTCTGCTCGGATGGGTCCCGAGAATTAAAACCTTTTGCAAACCCTTTTTCTTAAAAACATAATATATATTATCATATAAATATATTTTGCAAAACAAATCTCAAACACGATTGAAATTGACTGTCGAGAGTTTTGGATTCCATTAGAGAGAGTGCAGTCCCGATCATTTACTTTGTCTGACAAAGGGGCTGATCCTATCACTATGATCACCCACTCGAGTGAATTCTCAGACTGCCCCAACATACCTAGGTTTTGACCCCCAAAGGATATCATTGATTGGCATATCAAGTCCATGGGCTTGGTGTAACTTTCCAGTTTTGCCCCTCAGTCTCCAAGGTCTAGGGAATAACTAGAAAATGGTTTGGGTTCAGTGCTTCAAACAAACACACACTACCTGTGCTTCGGGTCTAACCCTAGCAGTTGAGACAATTTGCCCCAATTTCTTTGGCAGTACATTAGTGTCAGCCTTGGCAGGATAAACTCCCCAAGTCTATCCAACGACTGAGAACATTCTAAACTAATACGAGTCTCATAAGTGTCTAGTTTAAGGGGTAATTACATAGAAACACACCAATGATAACATGAAATAATTATGTACTTTTATTCCTTTACAATAAATGTATATTATCTGTACATCAATCTGATTGGAGCTAAGAGCATACACTATCTAACTGCTCCCACTTGCACTCAGGTTCAATCTGGTACAAGCCTCAGTTCCATATTGTCCATGTGTTTTTCAAACACTTTCTATGTTAGTGGCTTAGTCAATGGGTCTGCCACATTCTCCGCTGATGCTACCTTCTGAATCTGGATGTCCCCTCTACCAACAATCTCCTAGAGTATGTAATACTTCATCTCGATGTGCTTGGTCTTCGATTGGGCTCTTGGCTCCTTAGCTTGAGCAATGGCTCTAGTGTTGTCGCACAACAGTGGAATCGGTGATGTGCTGGATGGAACAACTTCTAATTCCTAGATGAACTTCTTCATCCAAACTGTTTCCTTGGCAGTTTCACTTGCGGCAATTTACTCGGCCTCGGTTGTGGAATCTGCAGTGGACCCTTGTTTGTTGCTTTTCCATTGTGAAGATGTAAATAGATGTAGACCTTCTATCATCTGGGTCTGATTGGAAGTCGACATCAGTATACCCGATCATCTTTAGTGAACTACCATTGAAGACAAGACAATATTCTTTAGTTCGTTGTAGGTATTTGAGTATGTTTTTCACAACGGTCTAATGCTCCTGTCCTAGGTTTGATTGGTATCTACTTACCACACTCACAGCCTGAGCAATGATTGACCGAGTGCACAACATGGCATACATGATTCTCCCTACGGTAGAGGCATAGGGAACCCCTTTCATGCCCTCAATCTCCTTAGGTGTCTTGGGAGACATACCCTTGGAGAGAGTGACTCCGTGTCTGAAAGGGACAAATCCCTTCTTGGAGTTATCCATGTTGTACCTGTTGACGATTTTGTCAATGTAAGTAGATTATGACAGTCCTATTATCTTTTTCGATCTATCTCTGTAGAGTCGAAGTTCCAAGGTGTAGGAGGCATCTCCAAGATCTTTCATGGAGAATCGTTGCGAAAGCTATACCTTCACCGTAGTCAACATTCTTACATCATTCTCAATGAGTAGAATGTCGTCTACATACAGAATCAGGAACGCAACATTTCTTCCACTGTCTTTCTGTAAACACAGGGTTCATCCGGATTTTGGTCAAAGTCAAATTGTTTGACCGTAGAGTCAAATTGGATGTTCCAATTTTTGGAAGCTTGCTTTAATCCATAAATGGATCTGTTCAGTTTGCACACCATGTGTTCCTGACTAGATGCAATGAAGACTTGCGATTGCTGCATATAGATATCTTTAGTGATATTTCCATTCAGGAACACTGTTTTGACATCCATATGCCAAATCTCATAATCATAGTGTGCTACTATAGTTAACGAAATCTTAATGGATTTGAGCATGGCCATAGGCGAAAATGTTTCCTCATAATCGACTCATTCTTTCTGAGTGTACCCTTTCGCTATAAGACGGGGTTTACAGGTCTCAACCTTTCCATCAGGGCCCTTCTTCCTCTTGTAGATCCATTTGCAATCAATTGCTTTCACTCCAGTGGGTGGATCTACGAGAGTCCAGACTCCGTTGGTTTTCATTGAGTCCATCTCGACTTTCATGGCATCTACCCACTTCAAGGTATCTATGTTCAACATAGCTTTCGTATAAGTCATAGGATTTTCCTCACTGTTCATGGCTTCCATCAAGTAACTTTCTTGATCATAGCCGTAACGAACTGGAGGTCTAGACACCCGGGTAGATCTTCTAAGTTGGGTGTTTTCTGGAATCTGTGGGACATCTCTCACTACTCTTGAGCTCTCTTCATCAA